ATGAGTTATGCAGAGTGGGTGTTCGGGGCATTCCACATCGCTGGGGACTTTGATTTGGATACACTTTTTCTAGTTGTAGTATCAGTTGTTCGTTACTTCTACATGGGAACGCCACGGTGGTCAGATTACCTCTTGCTGGAAGAAAGTCCTCCATGTTAGAGTGGTGGTGCACGATATTCTGGGTGAGGTTGGGAAGATTTGGGTGTCTTTGAGAAGGGCAGAGAGCCTCGGGCGGTCCTGTGATAAAGGGGTGGTGGTGGAATATCAGACCTGCCTTTGGTGAATCTGTCCATCTCTGGGCGGAGGGGCTCTTTACGCTTATACTGTTCTTTTCTCTCCCGTTAGTTTTGGTTGGATTAAAGATTCTTTTTTGAAGAAGGGCTGCATGCATAAGGGGGGCGGGGCTGCATGCATAAGGGGGGCGGGGTGGTTTATTAACCTCACAGGTTTGATGTCTGGTGTAGTGATTGAGTGGTAGTACGATTTATTTCCCCAATTATGTCACGTTCATTTCTGAGACATTTGCTTTTGTTGACAGCAGATTTTGCTATGTTTATTTTCGTTTTGCTGTAAAAATATATATAAATTTTTTTATATTCTGTAAAATATTTTATGTTTATTGATTGCGAGACTTTTAATAAAGAAATATTGGGAAGAATGTCCCTTACATTGGGGGTCAGTGGGAAGAATGTCCCTTACATTGGGGTGTCAGTGGAAGAATGTCCCTTACATTGGAGGTCAGTGGGAAGAATGTCCCTTACATTGGTGATCAGTGGGAAGAATGTCTCCTTACATTGGGGGTCAGTGGGAAGAATGTCCCTTACATTGGAGGTCAGTGGGAAGAATGTCCCTTATAATTGGTGGTCAGTGGGAAGAATGTCCCTTACATTGGGGGTCAGTGGGAAGAATGTCCCTTACATTGGAGGTCAGTGGGAAGAATGTCCCTTACATTGGTGTCAGTGGAAGAATGTCCCTTACATTGGGGGTCCAGTGGGAAGAATGTCCCTTACATTGGGGGTCAGTGGGAAGAATGTCCCTTACATTGGGGGTCAGTGGGAAGAATGTCCCTTACATTGGCAGTCAGTGGGAAGAATGTCCCTGGAAAAACGAAAAAGAATTCTCCTGCGCTCCAAGACTCAGACAGGTGGCACAAGATGGAACCAGGCCTGGGGAACGAACACCACTGCATAAAGGGCTGTGCAGCTCCAAACCAAGGCTGGGGAAGCCCAATCAGCACTGTAAAATGAAATAAAAAACAAGAAGCGCACCAGCCTTGCGCATTACCTCAGCGACCAAAATTTATTACTTGTAAAGAACATACTCACAAACAGCGAATAAAATCAGGCAATGTAAGTCCTCTCAGGGACTTTGAAGATAACTATGTGAGTGAGTCCCATCAGGGGAATAGGTGTTCAGTACAGCTGACGCGTTTCGAAGGGAGTCCCTTCTTCCTCAGAGCTCTGAGGAAGAAGGACTCCCTTCGAAACGCGTCAGCTGTACTGAACACCTATTCCCCTGATGGGACTCATGTTATCTTCAAGTCCCTGAGAGGACTTACATGCCTGATTTTATCGCTGTTTGTGAGTATGTTCTTTACAAGTAATAAATTTTGGTCGCTGAGGTAATGCGCAAGGCTGGTGCGCTTCTTGTTTTTATTTTCATTTTACAGGGAAGAATGTCCCTTACATTGGGGGGTCAGTGGGAAGAATGTCCCTTACATTGGGGGTCAGTGGGAAGAATGTCCCTTACAATGGGGGTGTCAGTGGGAAGAATGTGCCTTCCTTACATTAGGGTGGTCAGTGGGAAGAATGTCCCTTACATTTGGGGTCAGTGGGAAGAACGTCCCTTACATTGGTGATCATGGGAAGATTTGTCCCTTACATTGGTGGCCAGTGGGAAGAACGTCCCTTACATTGGGGGTCAGTGGGAAGAATGTCCCTTACATTGGGGGTCAGTGGGAAGAATGTCCCTTACATTGGGGTCAGTGGGAAGAATGTCCCTTACATTGGGGGTCAGTGGGAAGAATGTCCCTTACATTGGGGGGTCAGTGGGAGAATGTCCCTTACATTGGGGGTCAGTGGGAAGAATGTCCCCTACATTGGGGGGTCAGTGGGAAGAATGTCCCTTACATTGGGGGGTCAGTGGGAAGAATGTCCCTTACATTGGGGGGTCAGTGGGAAGAATGTCCCTTACATTGGGGGGTCAGTGGGAAGAATGTCCCTTACATTGGGGGTCAGTGGGAAGAATGTCCCTTACATGGTGGTCAGTGGGAAGAATGTCCCTTACATTGGTGATCAGTGGAAGAATGTCCCTTACATTTGGGGGTCAGTGGGGAAGAATGTCCCTTACATTGGTGGCCAGTGGGAAGAATGTCCCTTACATTGGGGGTCAGTGGGAAGAATGTCCCTTACATGGGGGTCAGTGGGAAGAATGTCCCTTACATTGATGATCAGTGGGAAGAATGTTCCTTACATTGGGGGTCAGTGGGAAGAATGTCCCTTACATTGATGATCAGTAGGAAGAATGTCCCTTACATTGGTGGTCAGTGGGAAGAATGTCCTTACAGTGGGAAGAATGTTCCTTACATTGGGGGTCAGTGGGAAGAATGTCCCTTACATTGATGATCAGTGGGAAGAATGTCCCTTACATGGATGATCAGTAGGAAGAATGTCCCTTACATTGGTGGTCAGTGGGAAGAATGTCCCTTACATTGGTGATCAGTGGGAAGAATGTCCCTTACATTGATGATCAGTGGGAAGAATGTCCCTTACATTGGTGGTCAGTGGGAAGAATGTTCCTTACATGGGGGTCAGTGGGAAGAATGTCCCTTACATTGATGATCAGTGGGAAGAATGTCCCTTACATTGGTGATCAGTGGGAAGAACGTCCCTTACATTGGGGGGGTCAGTGGGGAAGAATGTCCCTTACATTGGTGATCAGTGGGAAGAATGTCCCTTACATTGGGGGTCAGTGGGAAGAATGTCCCTTACATTGGGGGGGTCAGTGGGAAGAATGTCCCTTACATTGGTGATCAGTGGGAAGAATGTCCCTTACATTGATGATCAGTAGGAAGAATGTCCCTTACATTGGTGGTCAGTGGGAAGAATGTTCCTTACATTGGGGGTCAGTGGGAAGAATGTCCCTTACATTGATGATCAGTGGGAAGAATGTCCCTTACATTGGTGATCAGTGGGAAGAACGTCCCTTACATTGGGGGGGTGTCAGTGGGAAAGAATGTCCCCTTACATTGGTGATCAGTGGGAAGAATGTCCCCTTACATTGGGGGTCAGTGGGAAGAATGTCCCTTACATTGGGGGTCAGTGGGAAGAATGTCCCTTACATTGGTGATCAGTGGGAAAGAATGTCCCTTACATTGGGGGTCAGTGGGAAGAATGTCCCTTACATTGGGGGGTCAGTGGGAAGAATATCCCTTACATTGGTGATCAGTGGGAAGAATGGTCCTTACATTGGGAGTCAGTGGGAAGAATGTCCCTTACATTGGGGGTCAGTGGGAAGAATGTCCCTTACATTGGCGGTCAGTGGGAAGAATGTCCCTTACATTGGCGGTCAGTGGGAAGAATGTCCTTACATTGGCGATCAGTGGGAAGAATGTCCCTTACATTGGGGGTCAGTGGGAAGAATGTCCCTTACATTGGAGGTCAGTGGGAAGAATGTCCCTTACATTGGGGATCAGTGGGAAGAATGTCCCTTACATTGGGGGTCAGTGGGAAGAATGTCCCTTACATTGGGGGTCAGTGGGAAGAATGTCCCTTACATTGGGGGTCAGTGGGAAGAAATGTCCCTTACATTGGGGGTCAGTGGGAAGAATGTCCCTTACATTGGGGGTCAGTGGGAAGAATGTCCCTTACATTGGGGGGTCAGTGGGAAGAATGTCCCTTACATTGGGGGTCAGTGGGAAGAATGTCCCTTACATTGGGGATCAGTGGGAAGAATGTCCCTTACATTGGGGGTCAGTGGGAAGAATGTCCCTTACATTGGGGGTCAGTGGGAAGAATGTCCCTTACATTGGAGGTCAGTGGGAAGAATGTCCCTTACATTGGGGGGTCAGTGGGAAGAATGTCCCTTTACATTAGGGGTCAGTGGGAAGAACGTCCCTTACATTGGGGGTCAGTGGGAAGAATGTCCCTTACATTAGGGGTCAGTGGGAAGAACGTCCCTTACATTGGGGGTCAGTGGGGGGAATGTCCCTTACATTGGGGGTCAGTGGGGGGAATGTCCCTTACACTTGTGGTCAGCAGGAAGAATTATCACCTTATATGTAGCTGGAAAAATCAATGGTATCAGCACAGCAGTGGTGTATTGTGCTTTTGTGTAATGAGAGAAAGAAAAAGAGAAAGAGAGATGTATGATTGTCCTCCTGAACTGGCATAGAGAAGGATGAGCTCAGCATGGGCCCCGTAAAGTTAGTGAAGATCAGTGGAGTAGTGGTGTCCAGTACTGTAAATTCCATCTTCTAGAGGATCCCACGGGTATGGTGTGTGTGTATATATATATATATATATATATATATATATATATATATACTGTATATATACATACTTTGATCCAAGTGGGACCAATACAACTTTGTAAAAATGATCAAACCTGGAATTCATCTTTAAGTATTGGACAGCCTACTTCCTATTGCCTCAGTAACCCGGCTAACAACTCAACCGACTTACCAAAATACATCCAAAGACTTCAATCTGCATTTGAGGAATCTGCCAGATAAACTCCCAGGGCTCCAACCTGCTCCATCTGAGGGTACCCTAACGGGTAGGTACCTTTCCCTGCTTACTCACTTCCCTGCAATCAAAGGCATTCCTGTGGCCAGATTGTGCTGTATGTAGCCCTTCTACTTCCGAGATAGCCACTGAAATCTCAGTAGACCTCTGTGTCATATTAGATGAAGGCTTTCTCAGGATGGCTCCTGGAGCCAATAGCAGAGGACACATCAGTCCTAGGCTTGGGCTCCCCCTAGTGTAAGTGGTAAGCAGAAGTCAGTCATGTGACCACTTTGTCCACTATGGAGAGACAAATCAGGAGGTGGCTTTCTGATCTCCAAATTCCCACACTGCTGATTGACATTGTGACATCAGGGGCGTATTTACCAGAAAGCAAACAAGGCATTTGTCTAGGCAGCACCGCCCCCCCAGAAGAAGGGACAGAAGAAGGGACACAGGTGGCATGGGGACAAGGTGCGATCCGAGAGAGGCTGCGGGCTGCTTGACCGTGTATGCAGAGCCCAACTCTCATTCCTGAGGATGTCCGGAGCTGCGAAGGTGAGTGTCTTTCTCTCTCTAATTGTGGGTGGGGGTGTTGGTGGACGGTGTATGGGGGTGATGGTAGTGGAAGGCTCTCGCAGGTTGGGGGGTGGGGTGTTGGTGGACGGTGTATGGGGGTGATGGTAGTGGAAGGCTCTCGTAGGTTGGGGGGTGGGGTGTTGGTGGACGGTGTATGGGGGTGATAGTAGTGGAAGGCTCTCACAGGTTGGGAGGTGGGGTGTTGGTGGACGGTGTATGGGGGTGATGGTAGTGGAAGGCTCTCACAGGTTGGGGGACGGTGTATGGGGGTGATGGTAGTGGAAGGCTCTCGTAGGTTGGGGGGTGGGGTGTTGGTGGACGGTGTATGGGGGTGATAGTAGTGGAAAGCTCTCACAGGTTTGGGGGACAGTGTATGGGGGTGATGGTAGTGGAAGGCTCTCACAGGTTGGGAGGTGGGGTGTTGGTGGACAGTGTATGGGGGTGATGGTAGTGGAAAGCTCTCGCAGGTTGCGGGACGGTGTATGGGGGTGATGGTAGTGGAAGGCTCTCGCAGGTTGGGGGGTGGGGTGTTGGTGGACAGTGTATGGGGGCAATGGTAGTGGAAGGCTCTCACAGGTTGGGGGGTGGGGTGTTGGTGGACGGTGTATGGGGGTGAAGGTAGTGGAAGGCTCTCGCAGGTTGGGGGGTGGGGTGTTGGTGGACAGTGTATGGGGGCAATGGTAGTGGAAGGCTCTCACAGGTTGGGGGGTGGGGTGTTGGTGGACGGTGTATGGGGGTGAAGGTAGTGGAAGGCTCTCGCAGGTTCGGGGGTGGGGTGTTTGGTGGACGGTGTATGGGGGTGATGGTAGTGGAAGGCTCTCGTAGGTTGGGGGGTGGGGTGTTGGTGGACGGTGTATGGGGGTGATAGTAGTGGAAGGCTCTCACAGGTTGGGAGGTGGGGTGTTGGTGGACGGTGTATGGGGGTGATGGTAGTGGAAGGCTCTCACAGGTTGGGGTGTTGGTGGACGGTGTATGGGGGTGATGGTAGTGGAAGGCTCTCGTAGGTTTGGGGGGTGGGGTGTTGGTGGACGGTGTATGGGGGTGATAGTAGTGGAAGGCTCTCACAGGTTGGGGGACAGTGTGTGGGGGTGATGGTAGTGGAAGGCTCTCACAGGTTGGGAGGTGGGGTGTTGGTGGACAGTGTATGGGGGCAATGGTAGTGGAAGGCTCTCACAGGTTGGGAGGTGGGGTGTTGGTGGACAGTGTATGGGGGTGATGGTAGTGGAAGGCTCTCGCAGGTTGGGAGGTGGGGTGTTGGTGGACAGTGTATGGGGGTGATGGTAGTGGAAGGCTCTCACAGGTTGGGAGGTGGGGTGTTGGTGGACAGTGTATGGGGGTGATGGTAGTGGAAGGCTCTCGCAGGTTGGGAGGTGGGGTGTTGGTGGACGGTGTATGGGGGTGAAGGTAGTGGAAGGCTCTCGCAGGTTGGGGGGTGGGGTGTTGGTGGACAGTGTATGGGGGCAATGGTAGTGGAAGGCTCTCACAGGTTGGGGGGGGGTGGGGTGTTGGTGGACGGTGTATGGGGGGGTGAAGGTAGTGGAAGGCTCTCGCAGGTTCGGGGGTGGGGTGTTGGTGGACGGTGTATGGGGGTGATGGTAGTGGAAGGCTCTCACAGGTTGGGAGGTGGGGTGTTTGTGGACGGTGTATGGGGGTGATGGTAGTGGAAGGCTCTCGCAGGTTGGGGGGTGGGGTGTTGGTGGACGGTGTATGGGGGTGATGGTAGTGGAAGGCTCTCGCAGGTTGGGGGGTGGGGTGTTGGTGGACAGTGTATGGGGGTGATGGTAGTGGAAGGCTCTCACAGGTTGGGAGGTGGGGTGTTGGTGGACAGTGTATGGGGGTGATGGTAGTGGAAGGCTCTCGCAGGTTGGGAGGTGGGGTGTTGGTGGACGGTGTATGGGGGTGAAGGTAGTGGAAGGCTCTCGCAGGTTGGGGGGTGGGGTGTTGGTGGACAGTGTATGGGGGCAATGGTAGTGGAAGGCTCTCACAGGTTGGGGGGTGGGGTGTTGGTGGACGGTGTATGGGGGTGAAGGTAGTGGAAGGCTCTCGCAGGTTCGGGGGTGGGGTGTTGGTGGACGGTGTATGGGGGTGATGGTAGTGGAAGGCTCTCACAGGTTGGGAGGTGGGGTGTTTGTGGACGGTGTATGGGGGTGATGGTAGTGGAAGGCTCTCACAGGTTGGGGAGGTGGGTGTTGGTGGACGGTGTATGGGGGGTGATGGTAGTGGAAGGCTCTCGCAGGTTGGGGGGTGTTGGTGGACAGTGTATGGGGGCAATGGTAGTGGAAGGCTCTCGCATCTAAGAAGTAAAGCTGGTGTCTAGTAAACCATAGAATATGGGGATTCCTGCCTCGTTTTCCATGGAGGCCTTTAAACCAGTTGACTAAAGAAACTCCTGTCTGTGGGTGTGCTGTCATTTCGTACTTTAGTGCAGTGATCATGGGCCCCTTGGACTAGAATTCTTCTGGTGTAATATTATGTCCATCAGATTATGTAATGAGGTCCACGCTCCCATAGTTTAGAATTATGTAGCACCCTTTTAATCAGCTAGGGGGAGCTAGACTCTAATTGTTAGCTAGGAGGGCTGAATAGAATCCTGGGTGTGATAGATAACAGGGGTCAAATTCAGGCTACAACTGAGAGGCTCTGCAGATCAGCTCTTTGAGACTTCCTCCTGCACTAGAACTTTGGGGAATGTTCTAGAAGCAGTGGGCAGATGTGAGGAGTGGCTGATCTGCACTTTTGAAGGATCCTGGCCAATCCCCAACAGGAGGCTTGACAGGGGGGCTAGGACAACCTCAGCAGCAGGTGAGTTCAGGTGGAAGAGGAGAATATGAAGGCTGGAGAGCAAGAACCTGGGAGGTGGCCCAGATGGGAAAGGGCTCACCTCCAGGCAGGGATCTTAGAAGGATGAAAGCTTGAGACTTCACCGGTCCCCTGAGAGAGGACCAACTGTCAGGCAGGGAAGGAGCAGCCCAGCTAGAAGGCCAAGTAGCAGCCAGTGACCCACCAGCAACACAGGAGAAGGACCAAGTGAGTAAGCCTGCACCCCCTGGGCAACAAAGAAGGAGCACTCTGGTGGGAAACCAGATTACAAACTACCCTGGACGGTTTTCTTTTAAAATGACAGACACTGAACTCCCTGCCCAGGGATTTCCCTCAGATAGCTGGATGAGGGAAGGATTAATCTGCGGTCTGGGGTGGTACTACCAAGAGACACTGGCTAGCGCTCCAAGAAGTGGATGTGTTTTTGCTATAAAACTTGTATATACAGTCAGGTCCATAAATATTGGGACATGGACACAACTCTAACATTTTTGGCTCTATACACCACAATGGATTTGAAATGAAACGAACAAGATGTGCTTTAACTGCAGACTGTCAGCTTTAATTTGAGGGTATTTACATCCAAATCTGGTGAACGGTGTAGGAATGACAACAGTTTGCATATGTGCCTCCCACTT